CCACTGGGGCTGACAGAGGGTCACCCTGGGGACCATTGGGGCTGACAGAGTGTCACCCTAAAGATGTGCCAGATCTTTTGATAGAAGTGTTGTTGGAGCATATCGTCGAGATTTTTCCAGTTAAAGTGTATATTTCCTGCTTATTTGGCCATGCGACAAGCTCAGATTTGCTTTGAAAGGGTATTTTTGAGCGCGCGCCCCGGAATGCAAATTGATGACAGAGAAAAAACATTCTGATCTCTTGAGGGTGGTTTGCGCTGCGCACCACTGGCCTTGTATGCATGCTCCTGGTGCCCTATATGCCTACTTATGTGTGTACTTTCTCCACCCAACAGGTTTGCTTTTTTCCCATAGCGCGGTAGTTATTCAGAAAAAAATGCAAAATGATGTTGAAAGATTGTAAATTTATGTGTTTTTTAACGTGAAAAAGTGTCACTTGAATCTGACAAAGCATGTATGCAGAAGTGTCACTTTGATTGAAAAACTTGCATTACTAAGTGCTCATTCTTTCATTTGGTGCTGCTCCTTCATTGCTCATTCTCTCGTTTGATGCTGCTCCTTCATTGCACATTGACGCTGCTTCTTCGTTGCTCTCTTCTTCCTTTCTTGCTGTACAAAATCCTTCCCCTCCTTCTTGTTCCCTTGCTCTTTCCCTGTTGCGTCCTGCTCCTCTTTTCCTTGCTCTTTCCTTCTTCCTTCCTCTTTTTCTCTTTTTCCTCTTCCCTTTGCCACTTCTTTTTCCTTTCTCTTTTCTTCTTTCTTTCTCTTGTTTTCTTTTTCCCTTGCTCTTTCTTTTTCCCTTCCCTTTTTTCCTTGCTCTTCTCCATCTTTCTTTCACCTTGCACTGGCTTCTTTCTTTCTTGTTTGTTTTTCTTTCCCTGCTTCTTTTTTTTCTCTCTTTTCAGAGCTTTAGCTTGCAACCTTTAAGGTTTGAGGGTTGTAGCTTTGCAGTGCTGCAGGGTCAACCTTCCAGAGAACCTTTGAAGGGTTGCAGGTTGCAGGTTGCAACCTTTAAGGGTTGAGGGTTGCAACTTTGCAGGGCTGCAGGGTCCTTCCAGAGCTTGAGGTTGCAACCTTTGGGGTGGAGGGTTGCAATTTTGCAGGGCTGTAGGGTCAACCTTGCAGAGCTTTAGGTTGCAACCTTTGAGGGTTGCAGGTTGCAACCTTTGAGGTTTGAGGGTTGCAGCTTTGCAGAGCAACCTTCCAGCTCTTTAGGCTGAAAGGGTTGCAGCTTTGCAGGGCTGCAGGGTCAACCTTCCAGAGCTTTAGGCTGAGCTTTAGGCTGCAACTACCTTTGCATCCTGCAGAGAGAGAGAAAGAAAAGAGAGAACGCAAAATTGAACAGGGAAGAGGAGGAGCGAAGAGACAAAGGGTTGCTCACAACAGAGGGAACCGAGAAAACAGATGATTGAACAGAACAGAGCAAACAGAGGGAACAGAGGGAAGAGAGGATTGAACAGAACAGAGAGAGAGAGAGAGTAGAGAGAATAAAGAGAGTAGAGGGGACAGAGACTTGAAGAGATAGTGTGTGTGTGTGTGTTTGTGTCTGTGTGTGTGTTTGTGTCTGTGTGTGAGTTGTGTCTGTGTGTGAGTTGTGTGTGTGATGCGTCTGTGTCTGTGTCTGTGTATGAGTTGTGTGTGTGTGTGTCTGTGTGTGTGCTGTGTTTGTGTGTGTGTCTCTGTGAGGGAACAGAAGAATGAAAAAACAGCAAACAGAGAGGGAACAAAGGATTGAACAGAACAAAGAGAACAGAGGGAAAAGAGGACTGAACCTCTTTCAAGTTTTTTTTGAAGAAACCTTGTTGAGTGCTGGGTTCTTGTCTAAGAAAATTGCTGTGCCATTGCTGGTCTTGCTTTGTGTTTGGTGTTTGGTAAGTGTTGTTAGCCTGTGGCAGAAGCGAACTTTGAATTGCCAGACGCATGGTTCAAAACATGGAGTCGTTTTTTGGTTTTGAAAATGGGGTCCAAATCAGCGTTCCCCCACAGTATGCGACCGGCTGCCAGCAGTTGACGTTTTCCGGGAAGTTGATGCGAGGAAGATTCTGGAAGAAACAGTGTTTAAAGAAAAGAAAGCGTTACTTCTTTGATGCGCAACATTTTGCAGCGGTTTGAGATCAGGTATTTTGCTGTCTCGCTATTATTGCGTCTGCAATGTGTGGCGGCTGGATCCACACAAATGTTTGTTATGTTATAGTTGTTTATTTGCATTTGGGCGCAATTGGGTACCAGGTTTCGATGCCGTTTTTGCTTCTTTTGTGGTTCCATTTTTGGGTCTAAATGTGGTTCCAAATCTGGAACCTGTCCTTTTAGTTTACTCAAGCGGGTTCCACTTTTGGAGCCAAAAGTGGCCCTGTTTTTGGAGCCAGGCAACCAGGTTTTTGGCAGCGGATTCGGCGCCGCCGCCGTGTAGCGAGTCGCGCTGGAAAAGCGGTGTTACTGATTAATCTGGACGAGACTAACATACCATATACTCTGGAGCCTTGAGTTGGCGCAGTTGCAGACGAAGTCGAGTCTTCGTTGCTGGCGCGCAAGAAAGATTATCGAGGGTCTGCAGCGCTCATTGCAGTTATTTGTGACAATGAGCCCTATACAGTGATCATGATAGACTAGCGGCGCACAGCGTGACGAAACAGAACTGCGCGAAGAGTCTCAAGACCTTGGGACAAAGAGATGCTGAACACGGTGCAACAGTTTTCCTGGCAACATCCGGGATTGGTGGCAAGTTGCACAACTGGCCCTTAAGAAGACGAGAAGTCCATTTTCGGTGGAGTCCTACTTCACCGAGATTGATGATGGAACGATGTTGAGTGATTTTCTGCGTGCACAGGCTGCAGAAACTCCAGAACTGCAAGACAGAGAGCCAGTTGTGATTCCGAGACAGACAGATGAGCCCGGCATTGAACCACAGACACCTGTGGTGATTCCAGAGCGTGCTTTGGAAGATGAGAGAAGTGGAGGCGCCGCTGAGGCAGGGCGACATGAAAGCGCCCAGCCCGGGCACAGCGCAGGGCGACATGGAGGCGCCCAACATGAAGCGCAGGCGGGGACAACTCAGAAGTCCCAAACAAGTGGAAGTGAAGGAAGTGCAGCCAAGAAGGTGCGTACGGATGGACCGGCGGAAGACATTCCCATGCAGTTGGAGCCATCCAGCACCTCGGCCAAAACTTCCAGAGATCCTCATTCAGGGGATGCGAGTGATGAGCGGTTTTGCTCCTTGCCTTTCGGCCAGCAAGGTGGAGAATTGCTTCAGTCTTGGCACGGCTCATGTTGAGCTTTAGGCCATAAGATTCAAAGATGTCAACACACAGTCTGACCACATGCGGCAGCTTCTCAAACAAAACACCTGGATCCTGATCATCAATAGCAACGAGGACGTCATCGATCCAGCAGACTGGATGAAAAGGCTCAGGTGCAGCATTAGGGCGCAAATGCAAGTTTGTGCAAAACCCACCTTCTTTCAAAGCTTCCCAGAGCTCCTGAGCAACTGAGAACATAATCAGGTTGAAAGTCAAATCTGCGAGTGGCATGCCTGGCCTGGTGCCAAGACATGCCAGCGCATGCTGATCCGTGAAAGCTGTGCGATACCAGGTGCCAACCTGCCACTTGACAAACCTCTTGACGAGATTTTGCGGCAGTCCTTTCAAGTAGCTGCACGGCCCTAGACAACTGAAAAGACATATTTTGTCCAGCCAGTCCTTCGGTGGTTGTACGAGGGACTTCAAGAAGAAGGATTGGAAACTTGGTGAGGTTGTCGGGAAAGTCCTTGAGCTTCTCGCGCACTCGGCGCATCATCTCTTTGAACAGACCACTGTTCTCCACTTTAAGTTCCTCGTACATCGTCGTTTCCCAATCGGCACTTTTGATGGTGAATCGCGCAACACCTCGCGCCCCTCGCAAGGCCTCTTCTGTTGCCACCGACTTGCCTGACTGGCAGCGACCACCAATGATGGTCGCATGTTGTTGCCAGCTCGCAATGCGTTGCCGGAGAGTTTCCATCACTGGCCTTTGGATGACCTCGTCTTGCGGCCTGCTGGGTTCAAAAGGCTCCATGGCCCTTGCCAGCGCTTCTTGGATTTTGCCTTCTGGAGAGGCTTTGAACGCCTCGTCGGCAGAACGCTTTGCTTCATCGGCGGAGCGCTTTGCTTCATCGGCGGACTTCACTGCATCCACCAGTTGCCCAAATGTGAAGGTGGACTTAGCTGCAGTTGCCACGCTAATGAAGAAGTCGCGGTTTCGCCCAACGTCGTCAACGAATTGTTGAAAATCCAGCCCCGACGTGTCAGAGGCATAGGCTGGGGCTACCATGATGCATGAGCCAACCACATGCCCAACGAGGCGTGCCCCAAGGTGTGGTGTGCATCTCACTGGCACCGCCTCCAAATGACATAGCCATCTGCAAGACCAAAACATGAAACATCACACTGGCCTTTTCTTAAACACAAACTCATAATCACAAAAGTTAGGAACCAAGTTAACATGATGTTCAAGTCCTTGCCTTGCCCTGTGGTGGTGGCACAAAGGCTCCCATCAACTTCATCAGACTGAAGCCACCGACCAGCACCATCCATGGCTTGACACGCACTTGGTGCCTTCGGTTCATGGCTACAACAAGGAGTGTGCCAACACCACTCCGTGCAGTTTTACTCCATCATCTGTTGTTTTTAGTATTGTAAACATTATTTTTTCACATTGCCTAGGTTGGCTGAGTTTTGGTGCGGTTTCTTGTTGTAGGCTTCTGTGCTGAATCTATGCATATGCTTCGGTACAGGGGTATAGTATTGAACTAGTCATGATCCTCGCGAACCTCATGTCACGACTCACCTGGCCGAAAAAAAACAGCAGCCAAGCTGCAAAGACTCCAAGGTCCATGTCGGGCTTCATTGCGCGCGAAACTCCAGGACAAGGCCTTGAAGAAAGCCACGAGCTGGGGGACACAACTCACAGCCCTTCTTGTTCATCTTCAGAACCAAAAAAACACGAAAAAAAAGGTAAAGCGAATCAAACGCAAACACACCCGATTTCGGAAATGTTGAAGTGCAGGTGCATGGATTTGGCTCAGCATGCCTGAATCGTCTATCCTTGAATGGGATTTCAAAATACACCATCTCACATAGCTGATACATCTGATACTATGCGTGCGTTGTGTTTACGGGGCTGGAACAAATGCACAAGCAAGAACGAGCTGAAGTCTTCCGGCCATTTTCGCAAAAGATCGGTCATGGATTTGCCAGTTGCGCTTCAGCGGCCTCCTTATGCAATTTGGAGGCAAAAAAGAAGCGCTTCTTGATAGCGTGAAAATACACAGCATGACAACTCTTGTTGCGAATTAGTGCGGCAACCTCCCTTGGGAGGATGCTGATGCCGTTTGAAACCTCTGGGATGCCTTCAGGATAAACTTTGAGGAGCTCTTGCAACATCTCGCGCCCCGTGACCTTGGGGTGCACTTGAAGCTCCATGAAGCGGACAACTTCCACAGTAGCAAGTCGCTGACATTCTTGCTTCGTGTCGTCCAATGACATTCCTTTCCTTAGTTCAAGAGATACAAAACACATATCCCTGAGAGGTTTTGAACACCGAGAAAGTAAATCATCATCCGTTCAAGCCAGGCGCTTCAGATTCTCACAGGCCTTCACCAAGTCGCCAATCCGCAAGCCACCTGAAATGAACTCTGGTCAAAGTCCGCCCAAACAAAAACTCGAACGGGGCAAACACCTTAATCAATCAACATGTTGTTGAATTGAGCCGAAACACAAGCATCCACGAAGTCTTTCCAATTCTTCTCATGCCCATGCAGTGCCAAAAACTCCTTCGCTTCCTGCTCGGTCAAGTCGCCAACCCAAATGTCTTCCTGCCTTTCCAATCCACCAGCATCAAAAGCCAGCGCCGCTGCCGCCGAAGAGGCTGATACAATCACCTTGGACCAAGGATAAATAGACGTAACTACAGTCCCCGCAAAACGGTTTCTGTTTGAACCATTGGAACTTAGTCTTTCAGCTGGAGAGCATGTATGGCACAGCCGATTTTGTCCGTCGCCACATCCTTCGCTGTAGAAGAGACTCGATCGATGCCTCGCCCATAGGAACCGGAACAAAATGACTCGGGTCAAATGCATTACAATATTTGAAAAAAACAGCTGTCCACTCAGTCCTTCAATGGTTGTACGAGGGACTTCAAGAAGAAGGATTGGAAACTTGGTGAGGTTGTTGGGGAAGTCCTTGAGCTTCTCGCGCACTCGGCGCATCATCTCTTTGAACAGACCACTGTTCTCCACTTTAAGTTCCTCGTACATCGTCGTTTCCCAATCGGCACTTTTGATGGTGAATCGCACAACACCTCGCGCCCCTCGCAAGGCCTCTTCTGTTGCCACCGACTTGCCTGACTGGCAGCGACCACCAATGATGGTCGCATGTTGTTGCCAGCTCGCAATGCGTTGCCGGAGAGTTTCCATCACTGGCCTTTGGATGACCTCGTCTTGCGGCCTGCTGGGCTCAAAAGGCTCCATGGCCCTTGCCAGCGCTTCTTGGATTTTGCCTTCTGGAGAGGCTTTGAATGTCCGCACTGAGTCCCTGACTGCCCGCACTACCTGTATTGTCGCTACAACAAGACCCGAAGCAGAAACAATGACTTGCCAGACCCTCACATCCAAAGCTCTGCAATGGGTCGAGCGTGGGCGCAAATCCTCTTTCACCTCGAGGGCAAAGATTGAGGAGTGAAAAATATACAATGCAATATAAAACCAAAAATATGCAAGAATGTTTTTTCTGTCTGACCAAGTAGAAAAAATTACCAAACAGCAAGGTGTCAATGCTAGACCCAATAAATTGAGGACGCTCAATGAGGCCCCGCAGTCTCGCTGATGCCACCTGCGGATGAAAGAGAAACAAACTACGCACTTTGCATGAATCCATTCAAGACACACCAAATTTAAAAAATGTCTTTATAACAGAATAATAAACGCAACCGTGTCTTGAAACTGCATTTCCATCGCCAACCTGCGGTGGTGGCACAAAGGCCCCCATCAACTTCACCAAAATAAAGACCAGCGCCATCCATGGCTTGACACGCACTCGGTGCCTCCGCTTCATGGCAAAACTATCCCCACACTCAAGTCACGACTGCAGAAGAGCCCACATTATTCTAAGCTCAGCGCGTGATTTTGGTAAACTTGGTGTCTGATCTTGATTTTGGACGAAATCAAAAACATATTGCACAAGTCTTTGGAAATTCTGCATGCGTGCGTCCGCCCCGATGTCTTGCCACAAGCCGTTTTGAGCAAACTCTGCGGCATGGACGCTGTCAAGCTGGGCAAACGCGTCGTCAAGCAACAAACGAAGGCCTGAGAAGTAACTTGCAGAACCAAGACGGCGTTAAGGAAGGAGATTAAGAGATTACGTGAGGGCATCTAGCAAAGGAAAGGCTTAAAGGACAATGATATCAGGCAACGATATTTAGAGGATCGCTGCAAGTCCCATTTGCCTTGCATTCGGCCTTGCAAGAGAACTGCCTCGCAAGTTGATAGCGAAGGCCAGTCACTGAGAACACATTTGTTGCATGAACATGTCTAGCGCCCATTGGCCTGTGCCGCAACACTCTCACCCAAACAGCTTTGGTTTGTGTGGTGCCTGACAAGTGTCCTCTTCGTTGAAAAGACCCGATGTTGTTTCTTCAAGGCTAAGCCCTACGCAACAGACCTATCATCAGGTTTGCGCAGTGTTCGACTAACACCACCTGCCTCGTGTCCTCGTGTGGGCGGCGCCTCATCGAGAATGAGATAGCCACACGTGTAAAGGCTCATGATGCTGGGGCTCCACCCACCAAGCTCATCGCGCATCTGGGTGGCATCTGGGCTCACCACTCCCTCATGAGCTCAACAGAAACATCTTGCCGCTTTTTCCCGAAAGCATTGCGAAGGGTTTTTCCGGTAAAATCGGTGCGTTCTGCACAGCTGAAGTGCATAGGACAAGTAGACATTAATTGCATAGGGGCATGCATAGGAAGAGTGCCGAGTGAGTGCAAAGGGGCATGCATAGGAAGAGTGCTGAATGAGTGCGTAGGGACATGCATAGGAAGAGCGCAAAGCGAATGCATAGGTGCATGCATAGGAAGAGTGCCGAGTGAGTGCAAAGGGGCATGCATAGGAAGAGTGCTGAATGAGTGCGTAGGGGCATGCATAGGAAGAGCGCAAAGCGAATGCATAGGTGCATGCATAGGAAGAGTGCAGCGTGAGTGCATTGAGGCGTGCGTAGGAAGAGTGCTGAGTGAAAGCGTAGGGGCATGCATAGGAAGAGTGCTGAGTGAGTGCATAGGGGCATGCATAGGAAGAATGCTGACTGCGTGCGTGGGGGCATGCGTAGGAAGAGTGCTGGGTGAGTGCATAGGGGCATGCATAGGAAGAGTGCTGAGTGAGTGCATAGGGGCATGCATAGGAAGAGTGCTGAATGAGTGCGCAGGGGCATGCATAGGAAGAGCGCAAAGCGAATGCATAGGTGCGTGCATAGGAAGAGTGCAGAGTGGGTGCATTGAGGCGTGCATAGGAAGAGTGCTGAGGCGTAGGGGCATGCATAGGAAGAGTGCTGAGTGAGTGCATAGGGGCATGCGTAGGAAGAATGCTGAGTGAGTGCGTAGGGGCATGCATAGGAAGAGTGCTGAGTGAGTGCATAGGGGCATGCATAGGAAGAATGCTGACTGAGTGCGTAGGGGCATGCGTAGGAAGAGTGCTGGGTGAGTGCGTAGGGGCATGCATAGGAAGAGTGCTGAGTGAGTGCATAGGGGCATGCATAGGAAGAGTGCCGAGTGAGCGCATAGGGGCATGAATAGGAAGAGGGGCATGCATAGGAAGAGTGCTGAGTGAGGGCATGCATAGGAAGAGTGCCGAGTGAGTGCGTAAGGGCATGCGTAGGAAGAGTGCATAGCGAATGCATAGCGAATGCATAGGGGCATGCATAGGAAGAGTGCTGAGTGAGTGCGTAGGGGCATGCATAGGAAGAGTGCTGAGTGAGCGCATAAGGGCATGCAAAGGAAGAGTGCTGAGTGAGCGCATAGGGACACGCATAGGAAGAGTGCTGAGTGAGTGCGTAGGGGCATGCGTAGGGAAGGTGCAGAGTAAACTCGCAGAGATCTTGCATGCCTTCTTGCCTGCTTTTTGAACTTTGTTGTCACTGTCCTATTCAGGTGTTGACGGGCGAGGTGTTTTGACCACAGGAAGTCTTCAGCGCTTGCCGTCTTGCTGGGGTGCAATGGCGCGTGGGCCATTCAGGTTGTCGATCTCCTTGTCGCCCTCCTCTGCTCGGGTAACAATAATGAGCTGGCGTCTGCGTTCAAAAGCTTGCCGGGTGAGCTCAATCAATGCATCGCCGTCACCCTGCAGCCCACCATCGAAAGCATTGTCGAAGAAAATGCGCGTGCAAATGCCATGACTTGCAAGCTGTCTGAAAAAACGAGCGCGCAACTTTGAGTGCAAGGGATGTGTCTGAAACCCGGAAAAAACTTTGAGGCTCTGCCCAAGCTCTCCCTGCAGTACCACCATCACGCAGGACTCGCTTGCGTTGGTCTTCAACACAGACTTCTGAAAAGCTCTGCGGCTTTTGCGTCAACTTCTCGCTTATCTTTTCCGACGTAAAATGCGGAACGCATGGCTTTTATACGCACATAAGCTGTTGTTCCAGTTGCTGGCTTTAATGCATCACTGTGTCTTTCGTATAATGTGCTGTGAATCACGCGCCGCATGATCAGGTGTACACTCAGGTGCCGTGGCCCCTGGCCCAAATCACCCCGCAGTGGGACTTTGCTTCGCCCACTGGCTACGCAGAGAAAGGTGCGCTGGCGCCTTGGTGCTCTACCTTGTCTTCAGCCTGGGGCTTCGTGGGCCCTGGCAACGAAGTGATATTGGCAGAGGAGCCGCTCTTCGGCATCCAGACTGCGGGTCACTTTGGCATCCTCGGCAGAACCGGCAGTGCAGCAACCTCCCGGACAGCGACCTAGGTATCTTCATGGCATCCTCCTCCCCTTCACAAAGCTCTATGAGCCCCCCGTCCACGGATGTGGCCACTACAAGGGATAGCTGCGTTCCCCTGTTCAGCGGTCAACCCAATGACTTCCGAAAGTGGCGGAAGAGGATAGCTTTGTACAACAAGAAGATGGTGGTAACGAAGAGAGAGAAGGAGGCGGTCTAAAGGAGCCGGTCTACAACCTCCTCGGCTCTCTCACCGGCACCGCCTGGAAAGTTGTGGAACAGCTGGAGGATGCCCAGATCGAGGCCGATGACACCTTCGAGAAGATCCTGAAGTTGCTGGACCAGTCCTTCCAGTACGTGCGGAGCTGACGTCTGATTCAGATGGCTACTTCAACTAGGTTCAGCGCCGGGCAGGTCAGACCCTCCTGAGCTATGTCACAGAGCACGACGAGGCCCTGCGCACGGTTGCCAAGCACAGTGTTGACCTCCCCTCCACAATTGTTGGCTGGCATCTTCTTCGGCGTGCCAGCCTTACCCGTGAACAGGTACGCCTCATCACCGCCCACGCCAACAAGGCCACGGACCGCGACACCACCGTCAAGGCCTTCTACTACATCCTTGGTCAAGACTACAAGCGCCCCGGCCACAAGCACAACACCTACGATCGGTTCGAGGACGCTGCCAGCAGCATGGTTATTGGGCCGATGATGGCACCTACGAGGACTAGAAGGGCTTTGCCGACTCGCCCGAGAAGGATCCTATGTACTACCAGCACGATGAATACTGGGAAGAGCAAGATTAGCCCGAGGAGTACTGCGACCCCGCCTTCTACGAAGCTGATGAAATTGGAGACTGCACCTACATGAGCGCCGATCCTGCCTCTTGGGCAGTTGAGGAGTATGATCAGGTCCACAGCGCCGACGTGGACGCCAGCAAGAGTTTTCAGGAGCTTCGCCTGTCGCGTGGTTTTCTTCCTGTAGTAGTTGCTCTTCGGGAAGGACAACAAGGTGAACCAGCTGTTGCTTCCGGACACTCCAAAGCTCAAGGACGAGGAAAACGTCCGGTGGCAAGCCTTCGAGCAAGGGCAAGCCTTCACAGGCCAAGTCCCGAGCTGCGAGTGCAACGCAGTGCATACGCTGCGGTGGATCTGGCCATTGGGCCAGCGCATGCCCTCCACCACAAGCAGCTTCGTTCCGTTCTATGCCCAATCCGAACAAGCGCCCCGCCATCGAGGATGGATCCTCGACGATGGCCAACCTGCTGATCGACCAGTTCGGGTCCGAACGGCCGGATGCTGTCATGTTGGATCCTGGAGCATCGTCCTGCTTGGCTGGCTACCAGACCTTTCTCGCCTGTGTCTCCCACCTCGAGTTCATCGGCTACCACATTGACCAGATCCAGTTCCCGCTGCGCCAAGGACTTTCGCTTTGGAGGTGACCATTCCGGTCGAAGCACATGGGCGGTCCGCATCCCCATCTTCCTGCTGCCCGGACACACCCCAATGCTTCTTGGAAGACCTGTGATGGAGCTCCAGGCACCCAGCTGGACTTTGCCAACGCCGCAGCTGCTCGTTCGTCTG